TGCGTTCTAGCCTGACTTCTCAAGAAAGATTTTCAAAGTCTGAAACTCCTCCATTGGGCTTTGATTATGAGGCGTGTCGTAACCGAACCAGGACAAATAAAAACCCCTCTGCACTCAATTGGATAGTTGGTAGACCTACCAACCAATCAGAGAAACGCATAAGTCAACTCCTTTTCATAGCACAGTTTTCAAATACAGAACGTAGCCTACTTTATTTATTATAGAAGTTAAATAACAAGTGTTACTTCTTTTACTTACTTCTCCATGAGTGCGACCAAAGGGGAAACCACAACGACCACAGGCTTTTCATTACGTCCCATCTTCTTAAGGACCGTCAGAGCCAGCTGATAAGTTACACTTTTCCCGAATCATGTAGGAAGGACGCCAAAAATATATTTCCGATTGACAAATGCCTTGATTGCAGTTCTCTGTTTGTCTATTAAAATTAATGCGCTGCCGATTTATTTATTTTTTTTACAAAAGACGCGACAGCGGAATCTATACATCTCAATTCTCCAGCTGCAGTCATCTTTGACAAGCGCACTTTGATGACGTGAGGATTACGTTACTGAAGACCACCTGTCAATCATCGTATAAAGCCCACCCTGGCAATTTGATTGGCCCGATGATTTCTGAACCGATCATAATTACTAGTCAATGGATCGAGTCCAGATCGAACTTCCCGTCCAAAAAATATTGTGGGCGGAGTTCGGGCTGGCATCCAGGCTAAGTGCGTTCACACACAACCCGTAAATATCCCGGAAAGACACATGACATCAGGATGAGACGTAGGGGTGGGCGATATGGAAAAAAATATCATATCACGATTTTTTTAGGAAAATCACGATCACGATTTTTTATCACGATTCTTTTTCAAGTTGGTTTTAATATTTTAAGTTAATGGGGACCAGCAACTGTTTGGTTACCCACATTAAAAAAAAAAATTGTCTTTTGTGTTCAGCACAAGAAAGAAATTAATACAGGTTTGGAACAACATTAGAGTGAGTAAATAATGACGGATTTTTTTTTTTTTTTTTTTTTTGTGAACTATCCCTTTAAGGACAAGCGGCAGTAGGCTACTATTTATTCCTGTTGCTTTTAGACCAGCACGCGACGCGTTTAATATAGACGCATATTACACCAGATATTCTCTCAAATGTTTGCTTTCACTTTAGACATAGCCTGTTTATGTAAACATTGTGTGTATTTAACAGTATTAGCTTAATAAGACTCGAGAGATAACTTAGTCCAGTATTCAGGCGCTGTTTGACAGGCTTCTAGTGGATGTGAGCGTCGGGGGTTATGCGGTCAGGAAAGCGCACGTTAGAACAGCGCATCAGCGCGTGAATTAAATGTTTAACCGGCAAGGCTTATGCAAATAATGAACTTTTGTGAATTGCAGTGTCCCGTACCTATTCATTAACGTGTGATCATGTGTAGGCTACGTCGCGTTGTACAGTTGAGAGACGGAGGCGCCAGAACTGAACTGATAGAATGCAATGTAACACGATACTACGATATTTCTTCAAAAGCAGATCGTGGAGACATTTTAATCGTCCACGATTAAAAATCGTCATATCGCACACCCCTAATGAGACGTGTAACTTACGCATCGAAAACATGTACACGCACATACCGTTCCACAAAACGGGTGAACGATCTCAGATCAGCACAGATAGAGAGGAGCTCCTGGTCTCTGCTTCGTTCCAGTTTGCAGACATTTGTTCGTCCTTTTTTTTGTTGATGACGAACTCAAACTTTCTTCTAAGAGCAACGGAGTCGCGCGATGGCACGAGCGTCATCACTATACACCCCTTAAGGCATTGGTCCTGGCTTTTGTTCACACAGCACGCGTTCCGGGACTGATCCCAGCAATGTTACTAGGTCCCCAACCCGAGATCGATGCCGGTATCAATCCCGGGATTTGCATTCACACGGAAGGCGTTCTGGCAATTTTCCGGGATCAACGCGGTGTGTGAAAGGGGCTTAAGTGATACCAGTTTGAAATTACAGTAGACTACATTATGATGATTAAATGCTTTGGGTGAAGCAATTTTGTGGGTGAACTATCCCTGAATGTTCTGTATATTGGTGGTGGATGTTTTGTGCCATTAAAACCACTGACCTAAAAGAACAAAGTGTTCTTTATGAGACTAAAACATATATTTGAACAAGTCTGACATTTGTTGCTGTTTGTCAACATGTCTTTACATTTAGTGTGAAAAATGGCAGTCTTACCAAGCAAGGCTTCTGGGTAAAGGAGGATGCAAACAGAAGGAGTTTACATTCAGCAAAGGTGCTCAGCAGAGCCGGGTTGAGTCGAGCATCTGCTCTCATTTTGGAGTTCGTGGAAGGAGCCGTGCTGCTTGTGGCCTAGAGAAGGCAACGGGCCAGTGTGTGAGCTTAAGGGGGTTAAGGCCACACACAAACAAACGCGCACACACTTACAGAGAGAGCGAGTGAGAGTGAGCACTACTAAGTGATCTGCTCTCCACTGCTTGCTCTGCCATGTTAGCTGGAGTTACACTGTGCCAACTGGGCCAGGATGAGGGATTGTGTATGACATGCACGGCTGTCCAGTGTTAAAGCCGTTTAGCCGCTCAGAGTGTGTGTGCGCTGAGAGTTATCTAAACATATACAGCTTACATCTAAATATTCTGTCGCCTTTCACACACACACACACACGCACACACACACATCAGATACCAAGAGGATGAGGCCTGGCAGGTGCCAAATAGATTATGGGTTAATCAGTCCAATCTTCATCCTCTTGAACAGTGCATTCACATGAGTAAACTGCATGTGGGTTTTGAGGACAGCACAACACGCAGTTTCCCAGATTGTTAGTCTGTAACTGTGAAAACTGAAGAAGATTTGACTCACTCTGTTCAAACATCACACATTCTCACTTCCTCGCCCTCAGCTGATCTCTTCTCTGCGTCCATTTGATTTTGAGCTCTAATTGAGAGATACAGTACATGAGAGAGGGATCAGGCAGAGGGAAGGATCGGGGGGAGATAGCAAAACCAGAGACCTAGCAGGGAGCTTCCATCTCTTGATCTTTCTAATCTCTTTTCTTACCACTTCATTTATATTGTAGTGCAGGAATATCAATAAGTGCATTAACTGACCTGCATTACAATTTCCTGTTTGCACACAATTTGCGCCACTGTCATTACTATGAGGAAAACAAGAGCATGGATGTCAAATTTTACACTTCTCCTCTAGATTAAAAAAGACCAAAGTGTTATAAAACTGTTGGTTACAATGCGACCAATAAATCCTTATTTTTAAGGAATTGGTTTAACAGGGATATTAAATGTATTTACACAGTAAAGACAGGTGAGATACTATAACATGAAATGATAACAGCTATAATTCCTAATCATTCGGTAAAATCATTCCACTTTCTTTTGAGAAGATAAAAAAAAACAAGCAAGCAATCCAGAGAGAGAAGATAATTCATTCGACTTTGTAGTGTGATGCAATTGGACAGTCAGCATGTATTAGGAAGATGACCCTGACGCTATGCCCCAGTCATAGTCAGTTGATCACAAAAAGTATTCTCGTCGCTTCGTAGCATTAAGGTTGAACCACTGTAGTCACATGAACTATTTTAATGATGTCTTTACTACCTTTCTGGTCCTTGAAAGTTGCAATGATATTGCTGCCTGTGGGTGGTTCAGAAACCTTTCTGATTATCAAAAATATCTAAATTTGCATTCCCAAGATGAACGTCTTTCGGGTTTGGAACAACAATGGGGGTGAGTAATGACAGAAATGTCATTTTGGGTGAATTAACCCTTTAAATTGCACTTGTGGATAATGCATCACTTCAAAGTTGAATGAGAACTGCACTTTGCAATCACAGCCATTTAAAGAGCACAAACACACAGCAAATATGTATAAACACAAATAACTGCCCATCACTGCAAAACATGCCATCATATAAATATGGAACTTCTCATTGCAAGGATAAACTAACCCATTTGACAGTCGACTGTAATTTAAACGTGAGGATGAGGAACAACTTTTGTGGTACCTGTTGCACTTACAATATAATGATTTATTTATTTATTGATTGATTGATTTTTAATCGTCCGGCTGACAGCTCAGACATCAATGATTTTGCATTCTTTCCGACATATTCAGGCACCGTTCATTGTCCTTACATGGAAAAGACACTAGCAATTGGGAATTTTTCCTGTCAACCAAATAAAAAAAAAAAGAAAAGAAAAGAAAAGAAAAAGCAATTTAGGATTAGAGAGTTGAGTGTGAATGATTTGTGACAGGGCTAAATGGCAAATAATAATAATAATAATAATAATAATAATAATTAATTCATTCATTAAAATATTCCTTTTTGCATGATCTGTCCGTTTCTCCGTTTCACCGCAGAAACACTAAGGCATGCCTTTTCTGACCTTAGCAGAACATTAAACACTAATTAATTGCGGCTACACCATTAGCCATTTCTTGCAAATTCTACAAACTTGCTGATGATACACGACCTTATGCGTCGCTGTCAATAGCCAGAAGGGAAATAGGTGCAGAGGGTCAGACGATTCACCGCGAGCACGCCGCGAGACGAGCCTCTCATACAGTAGATGGTCAGTGTCGGTATGCGGTCTCCATAAACTGGACTGTCAAGGACAGTAAGCTTGTCTCGCTTATGTTTCTCAACAACCTAGCTAAGACGAAACTGCACATTGGACGCCAGAGAAAGAAGAACGAAAAAGAAAGAAAAAAAAGTGCCGGGACGTTTTGCCATTCCGCACCAGAAATAATGAGGATGAGGATGATGAAACCAACGAGAAAGATCCACATGAGGCTACCTGCAGTAAGATCACACGACAGGGTCAGTTTCATCAAAAGGATTTGTCAGTGAACCGACACGGTTGTTAAGTTGTTTTGTCCAACATTCATACAAGTGTAGAAAACAGTCAGGTATAGACGTGTGTTCTGCCAAAAGCGAGCTTGACATAAACATAAAATCTTACCTGCGCTGAACAGCCTGTTCATTTCCCGAAGGAAACTTCTATCCCTCGGGGAGCACCCTCCAAACGCAAAGCCGACGAGTCGTCAATACTTTTCGAAAGATAGCTGTCAATTCCTTTAAATTTAGCCAATAGCATCACACTTAAAAGCAACGGTTAAACTGCCTAACGCAGAGAGAGAATGCCTAACACTGAATGGAGAGTCAGGTAGACGATGGCCGCCCGTTGGTATCCCGCTGTCCTAAAATGCTCACACGGATAAAACACGGAAGATCGCGAGTCTCTACAACCTTCTGCTTTGATTAAGCGATACAGAGGCGCGCGCTGAATGAGCGCGTGTAAGGGAGAACGGACGCTACCATTCACACTGAGGGACAACTGACCGATACATGCTACTGTCGGCTCAAGCATCTGTCCGAGGACATAATGTTACCACTGACGGGAGTTATGAGTTCACAAACAGCACTTTGAGTGGAATTAAACCTCGTGAATGGCAGAGAATGGTTGAACAGTAATTCCTTTAAAGAGAATTTGCTCGCGCCTCAGGTACATGCCCCGCATGCGGCTGCACCTGCTTGAGATGTGAGAAGAATGACAACATCTCTCTTTTTTTCCCCCTGTGTATTAAAAACATCAGTACATATTATGAATTATTTGGAAGTGGTGGTTATGCATGTGGAATAGGTTATACAATAAGCAAGTCATTATCACAAAATAAACCCTGAAAGGGTGATTATTGCCCTGCTTATAAATAAACACATGCGCATGAATTATTCATCTGAAGTGAAATAAGTGTTAGCCTAACAAGGGGAGATAAGTGCTTATACAGCGTTGTCATGTACAATGGCCATTATTCTGAAATATCTGACCTCTTGCCACATATAACCAACAAGAATGACATTCCACATAGATGTGTAATAGCAAGCAATATATATATATATATATATATGAAGAGTTCAGATGCAAAAGCCTCTAAGTGCCATTTGAAATTTTCTTCTAGAATGATAATTTTTATCAAGCTTGTATATTTAAGTTCAGTGATTTCACTTAAATGGCAATGATAATTACCTATTAATTGTTATTTAAGTGAAATTACTGAACTTAAATATACAAGTTTGATAAAAAATCATCATTAAAGAAAAAAATTTCAAATGGCATTTAGAGGCTTTTGCATCTGAACTCTTCATATATATATATATATATATATATATATATATATATATATATATATAATAGCAATATATATAATTTATTTTGAACCAATGCTAGTGACAAAAGTATTGCTATGTTTACTGTTCTATTTTATTTCCATTCTCTCAAACTTCTTTTATGTCACATTTAGGCTACATTAGTTATACTCAAAAGCAGCTTCAATTTGCAGACAATGCTATCAACACTTAAATTCCATTCAAACACATTCTGATACTTTGAGCAAATCAAATATGAATCTATTTTACCAGTCATAATGACTGTCACTGTTTAACCGAATGCATCACAAATCAAAGTTTAAACGTGCCATTTGCCATCACATGGGGCCCCCAAATTGAGTTTATTGAGGTTTTTCACCTGTATGGGATGAGTCATTTTAGCACAAGTCATGAACATTACAGTAATTGTCTTATACCCGACAAGTCATTTTAGGAGCTAATAGGTACAATATGTCATGAGTGAGGACAGGGTGTAAAAACAAGGTCACAATATGTAATTCAAGATCAAAAATTTGGTCTTTTAGTTACACAAATGTGACTGATTGTTTTTCATCAATGCCCCAGCAATGACATTACTTTAGTAAGCATTTGAACAGGGCATGACAAAAATGAGATGCAATTATATGCTATAACGAGGGAGCCATTGTTAAGAATTTCTGTGTTATTCAAACAAAGATCTAACCCCAGATAGGTTGGGAACATTAAAGCTTGATTATTTGAGAACAACTTGTAAAAAAAAACAAAAAAAAAACATGGCTGCTTTTTGAAATGCACATTTCAAACATTTCTTCACTCTACTGGTGATTGTCTGATTTGGTTATGACACAGCATGTCTTCCGGCTTGAGATTTGTTCAGAGAGACAAAGATAGGGAGGCATTCAATTTTGTCCATGTTGGCTTGTGCCCCCCACCTGCAACAAGATGGCCAGTGAGAGAAAAACTGTTCTGTACCAAGCTGTGATTCTCAATGAGGTTATTCTCTCTGCTTCATACCAACACTGCTTAGTATGGAGTTGTTTTCCTTGTCCCACAATCAAGATCGGTCGGCTTTAATCCCTGGTATGTCAGGTATTTGACTCGAAAATACAATTTCAGCATTGCCACCACACTGACCATCTATCTTCACAGAAACCCACCTTAACCTTTTGTCACAAACTGTCGATTCAACTGTGACTCACATTAAGTTAAACCGAAGAAGTAAGAAGAGAGAGAGAGAGTGGCATGAGTAAGTGTACTGGCACTTCCAACCCGATCTCACGACCAAGTCGTACGAATTCGACGAATGATTAAAAAGTGGCTAATTCGTAACAATTCATACGACCTCACTCGTACGAATTAATACGATTTTGCTAAATCGTACATATTTTACGAATTGGCCAATTCGTATGAATTCGTACGAATGACCTACCCCTTACCCCGCCCCTAAACCTAACCATCACGTGGGTTTAGACAAATCGCACGAATTAGTACGAGTGAGGTCGTACGAATTAGTACGAATTAGCCACTTTTTAATCATGCGTCGAATTCGTACGAATTGATCGTGAGATAGTGTTGGCACTTCCCAAGAAGCAGATCCACTTCTCAATTCTCACTCATATGCATGTGACATAGCACACCGAATATGGAATATTTATATGCTACAAAGTTTGTTTACTTTGTTTGAAGATTCAGTTTAGGAGCAGGTTTATCTAAGAAATATCTGATAAATTCTTAAAATTACACACACGCACACAAGTTTGGGGTCTGTAATATTTTTAAATGTTTTTGAAAGAGGTCTCGTATGTTCAACAAGGCTGCAATTTGATCTCAAACAGAGTAAAAATAGTACTATTGTGAAATATTTTGGATTTTAAATGGTTTTGATTATTTTGCCAGGACAAAGCTGAATTATGATCATTACTCCAGTCTTCGATGTCACATGATCATTCAGGAATCATTCTAATATGCTGCCTTGGTGCACAAGAAATATTTCTTGTCATTGTCAATGGATTTTCAGGAACAGAAAATTCTAAGAACAGAATTTAATTGAAACAGAAACCCGTGTCCAAACCCTGTGTGCTCTTACTCCCAGAAGTTGCATTAAGTCATATCAGAGCTTGCTAAATTGAGACAGTTCTTTCCATTTTTGTAATAATTGTGCATCAGTTAACAAATGGACTGTGGTTGGTCTATGGACTAGGCACATGATAAAATGTTTCCATCAGAGACCCATTTACAGTACATGCAAACAATACACCAAAGTCAATGTCAGTCATCAGTCTTTTTCCTGCAGATGCATCATGCCCGATGAGCTATAATGACTGTTTTTGTTCCAAAAACCCATGGTTTGGAAGCCAGAGATGGAAAACATAATAGTCATAGAGTGTCTTTATAAGTTTGCATGTGTGGAGACTACAAAAAGAAAAAAAAAGGGGGCAAAAGTCAGAACCTGTCAGAAGAGGTTCAACAAATATGAACTTGTAAACTCCACAAGACAACAAAGGAAACATCATCTTAAAATTATAAGGAAGCATGCAATATTGCACACTGTATGGGTGTACATATATATTCAATATTTCACCCCTCGGCTGCATTCTAATTCCACCAAACACTGTATATTTATGAGCCAGAGCTTCACTTCTGACTCCAAATGAGAAGGGCAATGCAATCCTCTCCCTCAATTCACATCTGCTGCTATTTGATTTCCACCAAGGCTTAGAGAGTCACAGAGAGCAACGGTGTGCTTGTAAGTAGACGAGACTGTGAGAATCAGCGTGAGGCCAAGCTTATGGAGAACAGAATAGGCCTTCCATTAGATGTTTATTTTTTATTTTTCTCAGGGCTTGTAGGAGAGCAAATTGTTCCCTCTTTTGGACGTGACTGAGATGCAGGAGTTAATGTACTTCCCCCTACTGTTCTGAACGAAGAACACCTATATCAGCAGTGTTGAAGCTGCTTTCTTGAACCCTCAGCTCTTAAGTAGCCTGGCAGAGGAACATTTTGTGAAGATTAACTAAAGTTCTAATTCTCCTTAGCTTTTCCGCCGGGAATGAGGTAGATGTGGGAAAAAACATGGGTTTATAATCTAATCTCACTCGTTTAGAAGCAATGCTTTGGTAAAGGTCAAAGTACTTTGGAAAATTGCACTACTTGTTGGAATGTGTGTACATGAGACATTTTGCTGCATAAACGACAATGAAGGATACATTTTCTATTTCCCCTGACTGCTGGATAGCAACGGACATTCTAGCACATGTAATAGGCCATTACTTATGACGACAGAAGATGAAGGAAGGCATTTATCGATGGCTTTGATGTGTAATGAGCATTTCCCTATTGCTTTGCTTGCATCATCATTCATTACAGTGGCAAGTTTCAGGGTTAATGATGTCATACTGCAACTGCAAGCATGGCTTTGTGTGCATTTCCCTAAACCGCATTTGTGAAATTTTGAGTATGATGTATTGCACTGTTAATTATTTAATCAATTTTGATTCATTCTTAAAATGCAAATGAGCCAATTAAAAACCTGAACTTATGGAATTACAAGTGATTACTGGGGCCTTGTGGTTAAGAGTGGATAGGTATATGATTTAGAGTTGACTGTATGCATATAAATGGACTGGCATTGAAAACGGCAAGTCCCCCAATTCTGTAATAATAATAAAGCATAATGTTATTAATATTATTTCTCAGTCTCCTGCATTGTGGTTTGTACACGCAAAATGACATTATTATTAATTTAACTCAGTTTTGTTCCAGCTAGAAAGCCACTAAACAAATTACAGTGGAGTACAGTATAAATGATTTGACTGTAAACAATACAAATGTTTAAAATATAAACTTGCAGTGGCCCAGATCTACTCGTTTCACCTCAAAACTGTATTAGTGTGAACTTGCAGCAGTGTATACAAATTAAAATATGCTTAAGTGGAATTTTATTTAAAAGGGGTTTGCTTTGTGGTTGGGGGGGGGGGGGTCTCCCTCAGCAGGGGGTGGTGTTGGAGCATAGGCGGGTTGCCAGAATGTTACATAATAAATAAAAAATAAAAAAAAAATATATAAAAAAAGGGAGATAGGAGCCTGGGAGAAAAAAGATCTGGCTGAAGGGAGACGTAAGGCACAGCACAGCTGGCTCTTAATTGAATTTTTTACTCAGCACTTTCACAGCTGTTTTCCTGAGATGAATGAAGAGCTTATATCTGGCACACATCCCTTTGGACACACACATACTGTCTTCCCTGCCTGGGTCACATGACTGGACACATCCCAAGCCTGCCTTGGAGACAA